ATATTAATTTTTTAATATAAATTTATAATAAAAAATATGTTTAATATATATATATTTTTGAAACATATATTTAATATACCTTTAAATTATACTCTTAGATTATAAATTACATAAACTCTTTTTATTTTAACTGAAAAGGCTAAATCTTTCGAATCTGTAGCATTGTTCGGTTTCAACTTTTTTTTTTTTTTTCAAATGAAGATGCAACTGTAAATATCTTGGTTCCTGTACAAAATAACCGGAGGAAGCCTTTCAAGTTCTTCAACTTTTGGACTAAGAATGAGGAATTCTTGAACACAGTAAAGCAAGTATGGGATGCCACAACAGTACAAGGCTGCTATATGTTTCAGCTATGCAAAAAATTGAAGGCTTTGAAGCAAGCCCTCAGGAAGCTTAATTCTAAGCATTATGCTGACTTACCTAACAAATTGCAGGAGGAGTTACATAAGTTGCATCTTCTGCAAGTTGATCTATTTTCGTGCCCTACTGCAAAATTAATTCAAGTTGAGCATGATCAAGCACAAAAAGTTGCAACCCTACAACTAGCTGAAGAGTCATTCTACAAGCAGAAATCTAGAATTAAATGGTTGCAAGAAGGAGACAGCAATACCAACTATTTTCACAAAATAGCTACAGTCAAAAAAGGCAAAAATACTATCAAAGTATTGCATACGCAAGACAATAGAAGGCTAACTAGAATCTCTGATATGGAGAATGAAGTAGTCCAGTTTTATCAAGGCCTTCTAGGGACAGTTGACTCAAACTGTACAAAGGTAAATGATGATTGGATTAAAAACATATTTCAATTTCAGTTGCCTACTTCCATGGTAGATTTTCTTCAGCAACCTATCACGGATTTAAAGATCAAAGAGGTAGTTTTTTCTAGCCCTAGAAACAAAGCCCCTGGTCCAGATGGATATACTTCAGAGTTTTATAAAGCAGCTTGGCCTGTAGTGGGTGATCTCGTTACTAAAGCTATTCAGGAATTTTTCTCCTCTGGAAAGATATTAAGAGAGATGAACTCCACTATCATTTCTCTAGTGCCGAAGGTTCTGAACCCAGTGAAGATGACAGAGTTCAGACCCATAGCTTGCTGTAATATATTGTACAAGTTCATAACAAAAATCCTGGCTAACAAGCTCAAACAGACTCTTCCCCTCTTTATTAGCAAGAACCAATGTGCTTTTGTGGAAGGGAGACAAATGGTAGAAAATGTCTTACTTGCCCAAGAAGTTGTAAAGCATTACCACAAGCCACAACTTAGCCCTCGATGTGCATTAAAGATAGATTTGATGAAGGCCTTTGATTCTGTCTCATGGGACTTTATCTTTCAAGTTTTGATATCCCTGGGATTCCCTGCTTATTTTGTCAACCTGCTCAAGATCTGCATCACTACTCCTATGTTTTCAATTGTTTTTAATGGCAATTTATGTGGCTATTTCTTAGGGAAAAAAGGTGTTAGGCAGGGAGATCCTTTATCTCCTTACATTTTTGTGGTCTGCATGGAAGTGCTTTCAAGAATGCTTAATCATGCTGCCATTGAAGGGAAATTTGCCTACCACCCCAAATGTGAGAAAGTGCAGCTTACGCATTTGTGCTTTGCAGATGACTTGATAATTTTTACTAATGGGAGTATAACATCTCTTGATGCTATAGATGATGTATTGAAGCAATTTTATATAATATCTGGGCTACAGGTCAACTATGCCAAGTCTGAGTTATTTTGTTGTGGGCTGCATGAGGTACACATTAAACATCTTACTGAGAAATTTGGGTTTAAAATTGGTTCTCTGCCAGTTCGTTACCTTGGGGTTCCATTGATCACAGGAAAGCTATCACAAAAGGATTTACGGCCTTTAATTGCAAAGATTACAGATAGAATGACATCCTGGGCAGCAAAGCACCTGTCTTTTGCTGGGCGATTGCAATTGATCACTTCAGTGGTACAAAGTATCACAAATTTCTGGTGTTCTATCTTCATTTTGCCTAAGGCAGTTATAAAAGAGATAGAAAAGATTTGCAGTGCCTTCTTATGGAATAATACCACTCAAAGTGCATATGGGGCTAAGGTAAATTGGCTCACCGTCTGCTCTCCAAAACAAGAAGGTGGTTTAGGCCTCAAGAACCTTGGCTTGTGGAACCAAATGTGTATTCTCAAGCATATTTGGCTACTATTTTCTAAGGCAGGATCAATTTGGGTAGCTTGGGTTCATGAGTACCTTATTAAAGGTAGAAGCTTTTGGACACTTAGCATACCAGCTGATGCATCCTGGGGGTGGAGGAAGATCCTCAAACTTCGGCATATAGCGAAGGGACTTATCCAGCACATCCCAGGTGATGGCACAAATATATACATTTGGCACGATTATTGGCACCCTTCTGGGCCATTAATTGACGCATATGGCAGTAACATTGTTAGGGATGCAGGAATCCCATTTCAAGCAAAGTTGGCAAGTGTGATTAATGGGAATTTTTGGCGGTGGCCTCCAGCGAGATCTCCTCAATTAGTTCAAATCCAGATGCACCTCTTTGACATGTTCCCCAAAGAAGGTGAGAAAGATATGGTAATATGGAGACCTTCAAATTCTGGAAATTTCAAGGTTGGGCAGACTTGGAATTGGCTAAAGAGCAAGAAGACTAGGAAGGTGTGGCATAGATTGATATGGTTCTCTCAGGCAATACCTAAACATAGCTTCATTAGTTGGCTAGCTATTCTCAACAGGCTAAGCACTAAAGCTCGGCAAAGCAAGTGGACTCCTAGCATTGTTGACACTTGTGTTTTATGCAATAATGAGCCAGAGACAAGTGAGCACTTGTTCTTTAAATGCAGCTACACACAGAAGATCTGGAAAACACTTAGTGCTATGGCAGGCATTCCCCTAACTAATTCATGGCAGGGTCTACTGCATTGGATGGGGAAAAAGGTCAGTAGAAAGTCATTGCAGAATACTCTTGTTAAGTTAGCATGGAATGCAGCAGTGTACCACACATGGAGGGAAAGGAATAGGAGGATCCATCAACAACATTTTAAAGCTGAAGATGAGATTGTCTATGAAGTTCAGTTTGACGTAAGGTGCAAAATCTTGGGATTTGCTCAACCAAAGTCTTCTCCCTTGCCTATGGATATTGCTAAGCAATGGGGCCTGGAAGATGTCGTGAAGGAATAGATTGGTGCAGTTTTATTAAGTTTGTTTTGAGAGAATGTATTCTTGGTAGCAGCTAATTTGCTGCTTGATTGTACAATCAGTTTATGGATAAGAAATTTCACATTTTATCCAAAAAAAAATTGTCCCCACTTACAAAAAAAAAAAAAAAAAAAATTCTTTAATTGCTTTTTAATACCTACACCCCACAAAAACAACCAAGACCAACCGCCAACCTACCGAGAAAGAAATCAACAGATTCCATATCCTTATGCCTGGGAGTTCAGTTCTCGGAACATTTTGCATTATAAAAAGAAGAAGTTACTTTGATTTTGTTCATACACAAAACCTGTTTCTTCTCTCTAGTATTCAGAAAAAAAAAAATGAAGTTAGCTCCGCATTTATTATCCATTCTCAATACTCTCATCTGCATGAATCACCTACTACTTGCCTTCCAATCTCTTCCCTCAACTGCCTTGCATCCAACTAATGAAAATGACAGACTTGCATTGTTGGCCTTCAAGGATCGAATTGTTGGAGATCCATTAGGAATCCTGACCTCTTGGAATGAGTCTTCTCATTTCTGCAATTGGACAGGAGTTTTATGCAGTAAGAAGCACCAAGGTAGAGTTACCGTCTTGAATTTAGCAAGCCAAAAGCTGTTTGGTTCAATAGCTCCTCACATAGGAAATTTATCCTTCCTAAGGGAAGTCAACCTTAGCTCCAACAGCTTCACAGGCGAGATTCCTCCACAAATTGGTCGTTTGCTTCGATTGAGATATCTTGATCTCGATTACAACAATTTTCAAGGTAAGATTCCTAGCAATATATATGTCATTCTTTTCGAATTTGAAGATATTGAACTTAGCTACAATAACCTTACAGGTAAAATCCCTATCGAGCTTCAAAACATTTCAAAAAGTCTACAGATTATCCAAGTTTCTGCGAATCAGTTAACAGGAAGTATACCACAAATGTTGGGCAATGCATCTTCACTTATCTATCTATCCTTGGCGAGAAACAATTTACAGGGAAGAATACCAGCGGAGCTTGGAAAACTTCTAAAGTTGAAATTTCTACAGCTTTCTGATAACAATTTATCTGGGGAGGTCCCACTTTCTATTTACAATTTATCGTCACTAGTCTTTCAACTTGCCTTAGCAAAGAACCAGTTGCATGGTCAAATTCCATCTGATGTTGGCTTCACTCTTCCTAAACTTCGACGTTTCTATGTTGATTTTAACTACTTTTACGGAGAGATTCCAACTTCTTTTCAAAATGCTACCAATCTAGAAGGGCTTGATTTGGGAGAAAACAATTTCAGTGGAGTGATACCTTCAAGCTTTGGAAGTTTAAAGAATCTAACAATTCTAATTCTCTCAAACAATCAGTTAGAAAGCGCAGAAGGTGAAGGTTTAAGTTTCCTAACTTCTTTAACAAATTGTACCAACCTGCGATGGTTAGGCCTCATGGAGAATCATTTCAAAGGTGAATTACCCATTTCAATTGCCAACCTTTCAGTTAAGCTTGAAGGCTTCACCATAGGTGGAAACCAGATTTCAGGTAAAATCCCCAAAGAGATTGGGAATCTGGTTGGCTTAACTAAATTGGTCATCATCAACAGCAACGTTACAGGTGAAATTCCTTCTACCATAGGCAAATTAAAAAGGGTATCTGAGCTTAGTTTGTATGGGAATAGAATTTCAGGGCCAATCCCATCCTCGCTTGGAAATATCACCCAATTGCTAAAATTGCAACTATATGACAACAATTTGAGTGACTCGATTCCTCCTAGTTTGGGAAATTGTTCACGACTTGAATATCTTTACATGGACAACAACTTCTTCCTTGGTAACATACCAGAACAAATTTTTAGCTTATCTCATGTAATTGAGCTCGACTTGTCGTGGAATTCATTTACAGGGCAATTGGCAATAGATTTAGCGGTGGGTAAGATGACCAACATTGTGCAATTGAATGTTTCACACAACCGATTGTCAGGAGGAATTCCAAGGACCTTAGGAGATTGCTTGATGTTGGAGGGACTCTGGATGGGTGATAACTTGTTTGAAGGAGGCATCCCATCATCGTTTAACAATTTGAAAAGCCTTGTAATGTTGGACCTCTCCAATAACAAATTGTCTGGCAAAATTCCAGAATACTTTCAAAACTTTTCATTGTTACAGTACCTAAACTTATCATTCAACGATTTTGAAGGAGAGTTGCCTACTGGAAGGATCTTTGGAAATGTGAGCATGATTTTTGTTGCTGGAAACCCAAGACTCTGCGGAGGCATTCATCAGCTTGGACTTCCTTCATGCAAGATTAGAGACAAAAAGCTTCATCATTTGATCATTATGATTTCAGTAATTGTTTTGTGCTCAATATTCTTGATGGTATCACTTCTTGTTATCTTTGCATACAGAAGATCGAAAAGGAAAGCTTCAACTTCCACCGATGTGCAAGATCCAGAACAATATCCAAAGATTTCTTATGCAGAGCTAAGTCAAGCAACCGATGAGTTCTCATCATCCAACTTGATTGGTGAGGGAAGTTTTGGTTCTGTGTATAAAGGAATTCTGAGTCAAGATGGAATGCCAGTGGCGGTGAAGGTTTTAAACCTTAAGAGGAAAGGAGCTACCAAGAGTTTTATGGCCGAGTGTGAAACATTGAGAAATATTCGACATCGAAATTTGATCAAGATTATAACTGTTTGCTCAAGTATAGACTTTAGAGGAACCGATTTCAAGGCTTTGGTCTATGAGTTCATGCAAAATGGAAGCTTAGAGGAGTGGCTACATCCAAATGAAGATCAAACTGGTGCACGGAAGTTAAGCCTCATTCAAAGACTCAATATAGCCATTGAGGTCGCCTCTGCAATTGAATACCTTCATAATTATTGCCAACCATCAGTTGTTCATGGGGACCTTAAGCCAAGTAATGTTCTACTTGATGAGGAAATGGTTTCTCATGTGGGTGATTTTGGCTTGGCAAGATTTTTATCAGTTTCTCAAAACCAAAGCAGTTCCATGGGTGTGAAAGGAACAATTGGCTATGTAGCCCCTGGTAATCGTTTTAATTTTCTGTAACTTTCTTCAATCTCTCTACTTTTCAACATTCCGTTTGCATTTGATCTATCTTTGTGCTCACTAACATGATAAATCAACAATACTTACTGACCTTTATTTTATATTTCAGAATATGGCATGAGCACTAAGATATCCAAGGCTGGTGATGTCTATAGTTTTGGAATTCTCTTACTGGAGATGATTACAGGGAAAGCACCAACTGATTCAATGTTCAAAGACAACTTCACCATTCACCAATTGGTCAAGACAAGACTTCCTGAAAGAGTAATTGATATTATAGATCCTTCATTGCTTCCGGAGGTTCAAGAAGCAGAAAATTCAAAGGCAAGGAATATGAGAAGGGGAGTTGGTGTTTTGGAGAGCCTTTTGGCAGTTGTCGAGGTTGGAGTTGTCTGCTCAATGAAGTCACCACGTGAAAGAATGGAGATGAAAGATGTTGCTGCAAAATTATATGCCATTAGAGACAAGTTCCTCCATCGGTAGAAGCACATGATTCTCATCGGTTGATTCGATCCATATCAAAGTAGAGTTAATCGCTTGGGAATACTTTCGTTTTGTGCCTATTTTTATTAATTAGTCTTTTTTTCTTCTTTTTTAGTCAACTTGTTATTTCTTCTTATGATTTTGGACCGAGTTGTATGAAATATGGTTTCTTTGAACGCAAAAGAGTGGCTAAGATCATATTTGTCTAGAATTTCGTTATTTTTTTAACAACTTCGGACTTTTGTTTTTTGGGTGCTTTTACGATTTCAACTTGAGCTTGATTATTTTCAAGTTTGAGAAGCTTCTATTCAAGCTCAATTAGTATAAGTCAAACTCAAATTTAAGTATTTTAGTATTTGTATCTTACATGTAGAAGTTAGTTTTCACAGCAGTGTGGACAAAGGTTTGCTGCTCATGGTATCATATAGGTAGCTGAATCTTCCCATTCCTCTCTTGCCTCCATCATGTGTGTATACATATGCTCATACATGTAGCCCTCTTTAAAGCACTCATGCAGAAAACTTGCATATAACACAGATAAAACCATTTTCTTCAATCATATATACCAAAGGGAGTGGAAATGCATTGTCTGTCTAGCAAGAAATTAATACATTTCGCATGTATATTATCATCTTTTTTAGAAAAGAAGAAATACATTTAACATGAAAGCTCTTAGTTACAAGTTTTATGAAATTACATTCTGAGCTATCTGCAAATAAAATCCCTTTGAAAACTAAACCAAAGAGGTTACATTTTGGTATGTAATATACAAACATGATTTATTTGCAGAATGATTTAAAAAGTAAGTGGATAAAATTTTCACTTACTTCTGAATGCATTTGCTTACAATCTAATTTTTGGTAGGTCAGAGATCGAAGTTATGCATATAAAAGGTGCAAACGTCATTCAACACATGATTGATCATTTTCTTATATGAAAGCTCATGATCTTGGAGATCATGCTCACATCTTGGGATATAAACTTCCCTCAAATAATGAACAATTCATTCTCTACTGATATTTTGAACTACCTTATTTGTGAACATTATTAAGTTGTGGCTGAAAATCTCATTTTGTTGCAGATCACAAACAATTCTTGGATTCAATTCTCAAGAACGATGGCCATGATGACCTGACTAAAAAAGGCAATCAAAATGAAATTCCATTTGTTTGTTCTGAATATAACTAACTATATATGTATACAGACAATAAGATGTATTTGCATTAGTTCCTTAGCTGTAATATTTGACAGGCCTTCACAAAAACAAATGTTATAATTTAATAATATTATATTCCACCTGAGAAATGCTTGCAGAGTGTGTTCATAAACTAAGGTATCGTTTATAAACAAAACCAGATGCATAAACTTTTGAAGCTGAAAGCTACTCCTTCTATTTGTATTAGTTTCACCAAAGTAGTTTGGGCCATTTGGCTATATTCTGACTTGTTGAGAAAGTGGTCATAGATAGTAATATCCAATTTGAACTTCTGCCTACCTCGTTCAAAATGTTTC